AATTGGAGTGACTCTCACCTACAGGTATCATTGTTTCCAGAACATGAACTGGTTCTGCTACTCTGATAATTACCATGATGCTTTTAAAATACTTTCTGTTGGATTTTGTAAAAAAAAAAAAAAAAAAGAAAAAGGGGGAGAGAAAGATTATTGAAGTCATCACTGGCATCATTTAAACAAAAAGTATGGCTGGTAATTCTTTAAATACAGATTGAATAACTTTATAACTATTTTACTATCACAGGTGAGCAAAGGACTTTTAAAATAAGTCTCTTCTTACCACCTTCTTTATAAAACCTACATGCACTTCATCTTTTTTGTATTGTGTTTTATTCAATTCCACTAAGATATCAAACTGTGCAGCAGGAGATAATACATTTTCTATGAGGAAAGTTGCTTTTGAACCATGTTTCAATCAGATGGTGTTTTCATGTTTACTTTTCAATCTTTTAATGGCTGTAAGATAGTGTTTTCAAACACCTCTTACTTTAGAATAACATTTAAAAAGAGCCTTTTGAAATATGGCCTAAAAACTCTCTCTCTCTTTCTCTCTCTCTCTTTAACCTTTCCTAATACAGAAATCATTGTACAATGAGCTAACTGTCCAGAATTATCTTTAAATTATTATGGGTCTCTAGGTTAAAATAAGCCTGCTGGCAAATAATTAAAATGAGACCCATTGAGTTACAGTTGGTGGCTGTGAAGTTGACCACCATCAGCTGGATAATCATTATGATGGCAGGAGATTCAAGGAAGGATGGTAAAATATTTGTGATCTGGCAAAACTTCTCATCAATGCACAGTGGCCTGTTTCCCATGGGTAAAACGTGAAGTGCTTCCCTTTTGAAATAATACTAATTTATCCATACTTCATAGATAGTGAACTGGAGCAACAATTCAGTAAAGCATAAGGCATTAAATAGTTTATTAGGCATTTAATGTTTTATTATATTAGGCATTAAATATTATAATGAATATTATTTCATCAATATCAAATCAAGTGTACATTTGTTGGCTCATAGCCAGTGTTTTTTAAATGCGATTAGACAAACATAAAACCAAAGAAATCAGTTGCTGTCGAGTTGATTCTGACTCATAGCAATCCATGTGCATCAGAGTAGTAGTGAATACTAAATAAGAATAATGACATGATGTTTCATTCTTGAAAGTATTGCTTCTGAATAATTGAAATTGGGTTGGCATTTCCCCCCTGTTCTAGAAAACCCTTTTAACCAGCAAGCGTGAGCTCTTGTTTAAGGTGAGCTGTTTGTAAACAGTGTTTTGTTTTGTTTAATTTTTTTCTCCCTTTTTCTCCCCCAGACCTCCCAGGCCTGCATTGCGTGAAGTACATCCAGGGACTTCAATGGGGAACTCAGCAGATACTCAACGAACACATCAGGATGACTCACAGAGGGCACCAGGCCAGATTCCTGGAACTGAATTGTGCCCTTTCCCTGCTGAGATTCATCAATGCCAATGTCATTGCTGATCTCTTCTTCAGGCCCATCATTGGCACAGTGAGCATGGATGATATGATGCTGGAAATGCTCTGTGCAAAGTTATGAAGGCATGTGACCACCCAAGTGCAGCTCACCTTAAAGGATAAGGCAATGTGGGCAGAAGAGTATAAAATATTGTACAATAAACTTTCATACTCTTTTTACATGCATAGTATTTTTGTATTTAATTAAAGAAAAAGCTTTAGTTACAGACAATTAAAAAATCCTCTATTCTGGACTGTTTCGTTGTGAAGGAAACCATTTGCAAACAGGACCATACCTTGTACATATTTATAGAAAGAGCAAGGCACCACACTAATAAGCTATTTTTGCAGGTTTGTTGACTCTCTGAAGGTCCCTGCTCTCAGCTACTAACCTGAAGGTTGGTAGTTTGAACCCAACCAGAGGTGCCACACAAGAAAGACCTGGCTTTCTTAATGGTCCACTTCCATAAAGATTACAGCCAAGAAAACATTATAGAGTAGTTCTGTAACACATAGGATCATCATGAGTCAGAATCCACTTGATGGCAAAGGTATTTTGTTTGTTTGTTTGTTTTTGGTTTCTTAAATATCAACTCTCCATTGAACCTACTAAAATCAAATTTGTAACATTAAGCTATAATACATTTGAATGTGTTAACCACTAACTTGATTGAAAAGAGTTTTGTCAAGGCTTAAGTAAGACTGTAAAAATTACTACAAACCTAGCTGGCATAAACAAAAATTAAGTTATCTTTGAAGGAAGCATCATGACATTTCATGTGATAATAGGCCCATGGCAGTGGGGGAGAGCTTTGTCCTATCTTCATTTCCACTTTCATTAATTTTGTGGAAGAAAATCTCTACACCCAAGTGGTGTCAAATGGTAGTCTGTCACCATAAAGTCAGTGAAGTAGGAGATTTTTCAAATTTTTATTTGGGGACTTTTCCTGTCCACAGTTAATGGATTTGAAATAGAGAACATTTGACACGAAACAATATTCTATAAACCACCAGTTGCAATCAAGTTAAATCTGAGTCATGGTGACCTCGTGTGTGTCAGAGTAGAACTGTGCCCCATAGGGTTTTCAGTGGGTGAGTTTTCAAAAGTAGAAGGTCAAGTCTTTCTTCCAAGGTGCCTTTGGGTGGACTTGAACCTTGAAACTTTTGGTTAGTAGCTGAATGCTACTGGCAGCCCATTTGGGGTGCTTCCCTGAACCCTTACTTCTTGATCTTCCTGGCACTAGGCACAACTGTGTTATTTTCTCTTCTGGGGAGCCCATCACAACGACTCTGATCTGACAGACTAGTAGGCAGGCCCAGCTAGGATTTTGCATTTGTTCCCTGTCTTCTGACCGCCACTGTCTGCCTGGAGCCACTTCTACACTGAGACCTTGGCTCCTCTCACTCTGCCTCTCAGTCTGACAGAGATGACCCGGCTTCCTCGGAAGACCTCAGGAGACAAGCCCTGCACCGATGACCAGAGAGGGAAATGGGATCCTCTCTCCTAGTTCTTCCAGACCTGCAGGGAGGTGGAGGCCCTGAAGTCAGAACTCCTGGGTCTTAATATTTTAGGCGTCCCTGACTCTCAGTGGAACTCTGACACGATGCCTTAATTTTCCAGCCCTCCAGCTGGGCCTCAGGGATCTTAGGGAAGTAGAATGTGTCTAGTTGGGGCTTGGGAATAAACAGGATCTATGGAGGAACCTAAAAAAAAAAAAAAAGTACCTTTTGTATTACCCAGTTACTCCTGCATTCTATAAGGAGGGTTTATAGTCCAGAAAACTCAATGTTACGACAAACCCCTAATTATATCTCAACTTTAGATACATTATGTATGTAACTGGCACATTGGACAAGCATGGCATAAAATCATAAAGCAACATTATTATTGGCTCCTGCTGCCTCTTTAAATGTAACCTGTAAAACTAGTTCTTCTTTGTCCCTGGATGAAGTTTAGGGCACTGCATGTCTGTTCACTTGTAGGTAATAAATTGCTTATTAGTAGTTAAATCATCCGGCCCATTGCAGAGGTTCTTAAACATTTTTTGTGTGTGCCATGGACCTCTTTGTCAGTCTGATAAATTCTATGGACGTCTTCTCAGAATCAAGCTGTCAAAATAATGCAGAAAATAAGATCCTTAGGATTACAGAGGAAATTAATTATGTCAAAGAACAATTATGAAAAATGCTCAATATTTAAAATATGGTATGATAATATATTTTATTAACCCATTAACAAAAGTATCTAATGGCTGGTTTAATATCTGCCATAATTTTAGAGCAGTGATAAATGAAATTTCAAGTTACCTGCAACATGTGTAGTGTGATCAGAAGATACATGAGAGTCCTGTTGGTGACTGTGTGAGAGGTCCCCAGATCACTGCCACGTTCCAGGATCTGCTAGAAGGTATCATGGGACTCAACACACAGCTGTACTATCAGCTTAGGTTTATTACAGTGATGCAGTAAGAACATGTAGCTGGATCATAAAAGGTACAGTCTTCCTTAAGTTCTCTCCCTGTCAGGAGGGTCCTCACAGATTACTCTTTCCCCAACAATGAAAATGCAGCAACATATATCTGATATTTCTGTCCAGAGAAGACTCAGAGTTTAGGGTTTTTACTAGAGGCTGATCATATAGGATCTGGTGGTGTAGTGCTAACCAGAAGAAGTTTGGTGGTTCAAACCCACCAGTTGCTCTGCAGAAGGAAGATGGGGCAATCTACTTCCATAAAGATTTACTACCTTGGAAACCCAATGGGGGTCACTCTGAGTCAGAATCCACTCGATGACAGTGAGTTTGGTTTGGTTTGGTTTGGTCACATAGGCGTCCTCTGCGTAGCACATACCAAAATTCCAGACTCCCAGCTGAAAAGCAGATGCTGAGGATAAACCACATTGTTTGCACTATTTAGGAGCAGGGAGCCGCCTTTATTAGGTGGCAAAACTCAAAGTTCCCAGATGGTAGCCAAGGCCAAACCTCGCAAGACTTTCTCAGGCAAGCAGTCTCAGACCTGCTGTATCGGCTCTTTTTGTTCAGTGTACTACTTTTGCCCTAGGCCAAGGCATTTTTTTGCAGCAAAATTATTATCAGCAGAACCCCACACAATAGTGTGAGACCTACATGCAGTATTCAACTCAGCGATGCACGTTAAGGGTCCTGAGCTTGCCAGTTAAATACTCTTAACCAAAGGGGGCTATCTTAGAAAGCCAGACGCCTTTCTCTTTAAGTTTCTGTCTGAACCTTTAACGTTGTGTCCGATGAATCATTTCAGGCATAGTACAACACTGGCCAGTAAGCTGCAGCTGACCTGAATGCCCTCCGGGGTTGAGGCAATGTCTTCATGTTGTTGTTTTGGTGCCTATTGAGTTAATTCCAACTCATGGCGACTTCATGTGTGCAGAGTCAAACTTCTCCGTAGGGCTTTCAAGGCCTGTCTTTCTGGGAGCGGCTGGGCAGGTTTGAACCTCCAACCTCAGGGTATACTGGCAGGAAGTACAATCCCAGAAGGCACAGGTGCCTGATCCCTCTGGAAACAAAGAGTTTACAATGTTAGGACGCCCCAAGCAAGACATACATAAATCAAGCAGTCAGGGTAACAGGGCTGGCTGCCAATGGCCTTTACTGTGGGGCCTTCCGCCCTGGGGCTCCCAGGCCAGCCTAGATAATTTGGTTGAGTCCTTGCTATTAGATGGACTGCCTTGAGACTGTTAGTTCCAATCACGTTTGCTTGTCCGTGACCTCAGCTCATCTACCTCATGGTGATGTTCTGTGGGAAAAGTGCAGGAGCTGGGCCGTCCCCTCCCCACTGTCAGCGCTGCCAGCTTTGATTTAGGCTCAGCAGTCAGCTCGAATTCAAAGCATGTGCAGCTCCTTGGAAAAGCGGCATGGGGGAGTTTTCTTCAGTAAGAAGGGAAAGCCTTCAGGACAGTTCTGAAAACTGCCCCCCTCCTTCCCTGCACCTCACCAGTTTCTGGGATATTGGTTTTCTCCATTGTTACCAAATCACTGTGCTGCATTCAGTAATCCTAACTCTTTATTTTTTCCTAATCATTTATTTTCTTACCCAGACCTTGCATCCGTAAGGATTATTTGCAAGAAAAACATTTGTATACAACTTAACCAGGAAGATGTCATGTTCAGGAATTGGTCAGCGTAAAATGTTGACTTTTCAATTTTTTTTTCCCCAAAATGGGTTGACATAGTTCCCACTCCTTTTGTCGTGATCATTTGCCCAGTGAGCAGCCTGTTGTTGCTGTTAATTGTCATTAAATGCCCAAGGAAAAGGATTTGTTCCCTGATGGGACCATTTGAATCGATTTTCGACTCAAGCGACAGAGTAAGAGCCCCAGAGGGTTTTCTAGGCTGTATTCTTTGTGGAAGCAGATTGCCAGGAAGCAATTCTAGTGCCGATCCGCTGGGTGAGTTTAAAGTACCAACCTTTCAGTTAGCAGCCGGGCACCTACAACAGGTCAATCCCTTTCTGGGGACAGCTGCATTTGGTAGTCAAACTGCTTTAGTAAGGTGTGTGTACCGGGAGGAAGGTGAGGGAAGTAGAGTCAGGCTATCAGTACATGTTGCAAATGGTAACTAATCCAGAAAGCCATAAATTGCCAGCAGTGAGACATCCCTGAGAGGAGGTTGACGCTTCAGTCTGTCAGGAGCGGGCAGAGGGGTCACAGACACTGAGGTGCGCCCCCTCCCACCTTGCAGCTTTTGGCAGGAGTCACAAGGTCTCTGCATCCGAAATAGCCGATCAGCAGCCCATTTCAATGGTCCCATCAGCGAACGAGTCCTTTTCCCTGGGCATTTGCAGTGTGACTCAGCTGGCCCAGGCATCATGCATGATGGTTTCATAGTTAAGATCCCACAGAAGGGTGTCCTAAATCTGAAACCGTGTCAGAGGCTGAGTTCTGTTCATTGAGTGTGTACCTGCCTTCTATTCCTCACAGCTCACAGGGAAGTTGAAACAGCCCAGAGCAGACAGTATCAGGTTTCAGTTTAGGGTTGGGTCCAGGCAACTGGAGTCTGTGAATTCATGAGTCCGAGAAAGTCAGCAGTTTTTCTTCGGCAGCAGCAAA